GCAAGCTTAAGTTGTAGTACGTCAGGGCTAAGGGCAGCTGACCCAAGCCATGATATTTTCAGTCACCTCATATGCATGCAAAAGCTGGACAATGAATAAGGAAGATCAAAGAAGATTTGATGTCTTTGAATTATGGTGTTGGTGAAGAATATTGAATATACCATGGACTGCCAAAAGAATGAACAAATCTGTCTTGGAAGAAATACAACCAGAATGCTCCTTAGAAGCAAGGATGGTGAGACTTTGTCTCACATATTTTGGACATGTTATCAGGAAGGACCAGTCCCTGGAGAATGGCATCATGCTTGGTAAAGTAGAGGGTCAGTGAAAAAGAGGAAGATCCTCAACGAGATGGATCAACACAGTGGCTGCAACAATGGGCTCAAATATAACAACGGTTGTGAGGATGATGCAGGACTGGGCAGTGTTTCGTTCTGTTGTACATAGATAGGGTCACTGTGAATCGGAACTGACTTGACGGTATCTAACAACAGCAACAAATAATTCCAATAGAAGTAGAACATAGAAACCAAGGTCGAGGATAAGCACAATGAGATCATTGAGGTAGGCATGGGCAAAATGGTGAAAGGCTATGTGGGGCTTATTAAATATTTTGGGCCTTTCTCTAAAAGCAATGAGAAGGAATGGAAGGGATTTAATAAGAGTGGCATTTTTTTTTTTTTAATATTTATCTAATGGCACCATGAAGAATGGGTTGGAAGAGTGGAAGCAATAATTCTCTTAGAAGGTTGTGGAATTTTTTCAAGCTTGAAAATTATGGTTTGCACTATGTTAAATGTAGTGGATATTTGCCATTCTTTCTGACTTCTATTATGGATTGAATTGTGTTCCCCAAAAACATGTATTGAAATCCTGGCCCCTATACCTGTAAATATAATCCTGTTTGGAAATAATATTTTCTTTGTTATGTTAATTAAATCATACCCAAGTAGGATGGGTTCTAAATCTAATCAATTCTTAATTATAAAAAGATTAGAAAGGACACAAAGACACACACGGGGGAAGATAGATGCCACGTGAGGACTGTCTACAAGCCAAGGAACCAAGGAGTTCCCAGGGCTACTAACAAGGAAGGAATCAACATGGCTGTGACCCTGATTTGAACTGTAAGTCTCCAGAACTATGAGATAAATTTCTGTTCTTTAAAGTCACTAGTAATATTTGTGTTATAGCAGCACTGGGTAACTAAGACAGCTTCTGAGTAACTTTGAACATCCTTCAGATGTTATAAGTGAGAAGAGGATAAAACTAAGCTAGAGTAGTGACTAAATGCTCAAAATCCCAATATATTAACTCCAGAAATATTTATTTCTCACTTATGCAGAGTTCAGTTCACCTCAGATGGCCCTCCTGATCAGCTCTCCTCCAAGCATAGACCCTGGGCCCTTGCTGTCGTGTGGATCCACCATCCTGGAGTAATTTTCTTCCAGCCAGCTTCTGATTAAGAAGAGCATGTAAGACCACACGAAGCATTTTAGGGATGAGATCTGGAAGTAATATACATCATTTCTGCCCATATTCCATTGGCAAGAATACAAATACATTACCCCACTTTAATTGTAAGAGAAGCTATGAAATTAGTCTTCCTGTGTGTGAAGGAAAAAGAAATGTCATCTGTGATTAAGACAATCATTTCCACACCTTAAGAAAGCCAGCCACCTTTTACAGAAGCTAGATATTAGTTTTCTATTTTTTCAGTTTTCTTAGAAACATAGGCTCAGGTATTAATATGACATAGGCTCTGAAAATGGCAGGTACCTAGTACTAGAGAAACTAGTATTGTATGACATCATACTGATGAGGATGCCAGAGGCTGCGTTCAGTTTCCTGAGGCAGCAGAACAGAGGACTAAGCAGTATCATCTGGTACCCAAAGGTTGTGTTGCTAGCAGTACAATCTGAAGTGCCTGTGCCCAGCAGAGCTGCAGTGAATTTCCACTGGGCAAGAAATGACCCTTTGGCAATTTGGTTAATATCTTATATGGTATATGTGTGTGTGTGTGTGTGTGGTGTATATTGGGGTATATATGTTCTAGAGAGTAACATAGTGAGTTAATAGGCAGAAACTCTATACAGATGCCCCTTTTCATAAGGTCCAGTGAAATTGGACTAGATCCTGCAAGTCTTGTTAAATAATAAAAAACCAAACCAAATCCATTTCCAAGGCTGTAATCTTTATGGGGGCCCTGGTGGCACGGTGGTTGTAAGAGCTCGGCTGCTCCTTGGAAACCCTATGGGGCAGTTCTACTCTGTTCTATAGGGTTGCTATGAGTCGGAACCAACTCGACGGCAATGGGTTTGGTTTTTTGTTTTTTTTTTTAATCTTTATGGAAAAAGACTGCCACGTCTTTCTCCCTCGGAGTGGCTGTTGGGTTCAAAGTGCCAACCATTCTGTTAGCAGTCAAGAACTTAACGACTGTGCCACCAGGGCTCCTTATGTTAAATAAAAATAATAATAATAAAAAAAATACCTGTTGCCATAGAGTCAATTTCGACTCATAGCAACCCTATAAGACAGAGTAGAACTGCCCCATAGAGTTTCCAAGGAGCACCTGGTAGATTCGACTGCTAACCTTTTGGTTAGCAGATGTAGCTCTTAATCACTACGCCACCAGGATTTCCGTGTTAAATAATAGTAGCTTATAAACCAGATGGTCTACTTGCATGTTTCCCATCCTTACCTCCCTCTTGATACCCCCTAGACTATAGTAAAGTTTATGTTACACTTTCCATTGTGCACTGTCGAGTTAATTCTGACTCATAGCGATCCTATATGACAGGGTAGAACTGCCCCATAGTGTTTCCTAGGCGGTAATCTTTTTAAGGGAGCAGATCGTCAGGTCTTCTATCCTATGGAGCCACTGGGTAGATCCCAACCACCGACCTATCGGTTCAGTCTGATAATCAGTGATGTTATGTACAATTAAGAGTAGAGGCACCCTTGGATTGGATGTTAGAGGAAAAGGCTTCTTTCTGGAGCTTACCTGTAAATAATAAGAAAGCCCCAAAGGGAAGGATTTTGTTTTGGTTCTGTGTGGAAATCTTCCTTCGGAACCTATGAATATAACAGGGTAGGGGGAAAGGGGAAGGCAGTAATAGTAACAATAACAATGACAACAACCACAAAAACTCTTTTATTGAACATTTACCACATGTCAGACACAGGCTGCTATATCTGATACTGAACTCCTTCTTCTTGGAATCATCTAAAATAACTTGGGAAGGACATTTTTTAAGAGGTTGGGCAGGATAAACTACTCCTAGTTTCCCCATACCCCAGAGAATGAAGGTAAGAAGATATTTCCTCTTTGAAGAAGAGCCTCGCTTCCCTGGGATCAGGCACTACAGTGCAGCAAGTTAAAACGGCAATTGGCAAACTTTTTCTGTAAAGGGCCAGATGATAAATATTTTAGGCTTTGCAGGCCATATGCTATCTGTCATAACTACTCAACTCTGCCATTGTAGCAGGAAAGCAGCTATAGACAATGAGCATGACTGTGTTCCAATAAAATTTTATTTTTGGACACTGAAATTTGAATTTCCTAGAATTTTCATGTGTCACAAAATATCATTATTCTTAATTTTTTTTCAACCATTTAAAATGTAAAAGCTATTATTAGCTTATGAGCAGGCTAGCAGGTGGCAGGCTATATTTGGCCCACAGGCCACAGTTTGCATCCCCTGGAATAAAAGAAGATCATTTAGAAACAGAGGAGTCCTTGGCTAGAAAAGATGTGGGTCAGTGAAGCAACTTACGGCTGAATAATTGAGTCTGGCCTCCCCTCCTTTACAAGTTTGAAGAAATGAGAATCTGAGAGAAAAACCATTGTCTGGGTATCTAAATAAAAGTGTTAGAAATAAGAGAGACCTTCACACTAATGGAGGAGTCATATTTCTGTCACTTCAGTTAATTATTCACTCTGCATGCATTTGTCCATTAGTTGTACTCTCTGAGAATTTGTGCTAAGGACTTATGCTAAGAACTTCCACTGCTAATCACACTATTTCCCAAATGAGCCACTTCTTGGGAACTCTAAGCACACTCCTGCTGCCACTACACAAGCACTGTGGCAGATGGACAAACAGCAACTGCTAATGGGATTAAGCCATGAGATGCATTGACAGGAAGTTCCTAAATGCACCACTAGGATGAGTTGGAAAGGGAATTAAATATCTCCCCTGGAAAATGAAAGACAATTTTGAAATGCCTGACCCACTACTCTACAGGTCTCCCTTATAGTTCCTTCTCACAATATGGAATTGATTTTTATTTTTGAGCTTATGTGACCTCATGCAATTTACTGATGCACCCTGAACATCGATTTCCCTATTGGTTCAATGGGGGTGCTAATCATACTCCTGCCCAAATTAAAAAGTTGATAAGAAAATTAAATAAGGAAAAGAAGTATCCATGGGCTATGAAAACTCTAATAACAAAATGTGTTATCTTTTATTAATGTAGGCAAATGTAGTCTTTTCAAGGTTTTAGTTCCAATCCTCCACTTAGGGGCTAATGCCTAGAAGAAAAGAAATGGCTTATTCTTTGTGGAGGTCATTTTGACGAAGAAAATCCAGGTATATCCCTTTTCCTGAGATCCAATATAGTTGGGAGTTCTGAAGAGGAAGTCGTGATTTTTAAGCCAGATTATTTGGTTTTATTTGATTTGTGTTTATTTCCCATTTGTCATGTCTACGCCTTTGATAAATGTTCTTTAAATGTATCACTCATCTTCCATGCACATTATCAGTGAAAACAATTCAGATAGCTGGATTAGATGGTTAAATGGGAAATACTAACCCTCCAACCACAGCCAGCTCGGGGTTTTAGTAATTATATACAGAGAAGAATCAAAGGGAAATCTTGAAAAATGGAAATTGAGAGTATGTGGCTCTGCAGCCCCTTTCCACACGGAGATTCTGCATCCAGTTTCACCTTTGGAGATTGGAGTTGTATTTTTATTAAGGAAGCTTTTCGTTTGTTTGTTTTTCTTGATACTGTCTTCCAAAATGCTGATGTTAAAATCTGAATCAAAGGACTTTGTACGGGAAAGAAGTTGGAGCGCTGACATCTACGGGTCTGAAGTCTGGGTGGTCACGTGGAAAAGACGAAGGATGCGCTGCCGGATCTCCTTCGTCTTTACTCCATAGACAATAGGATTGAGCACTGGAGGAACAAGCAGGTAGATGTTGGCCATGATGACTGGTAGGATGGAGTCATGCTGCTTGCCAAAGCGGTGCACCACAGACAATCCAATGAAAGGTACATAAAATATGAAAACTGCACACACATGAGAGACACAAGTACCAAATGCCTTTGCCTGGGCTTCACGTGTCAAGCCCAACACGGTCTTGAGGATAAGCAGATATGAGAAGGAGATGAGAAGGGAGTCTAGGCCAATGGCAGAGACAATGACAATAAGGCCATATATGATATTGACATGGATGTCAGCACAGGCCAGCTTCATGACATCTTGGTGTAGGCAGTATGAATGGGAGAGGATATTGGAGCCACAGAAAGGCAGCTGTTTGATGAAGACAGGCAGGGGTGCCATGAGTGCAGCACCCCGTACCACAGCAGCCATGCCAATCTTGGCAACACGAGGCAACGTGAGCACAGTGGCATGGTGTAGTGGGTGGCAGATGGCCACATAGCGGTCAAAGGCCATGGCCAGCAGCACTGTGGACTCCATGCCAGATAGGGAATGGATGGCAAACATCTGGAACAGACAAGCATCAAACTGGATAGTAGTGGAATTGAACCAGAATATGGCCATCATTTTGGGCATGGATGAGGTGGAGATGAGGATGTCAAGGCCAGAAAGCATGCAAAGGAAAATATACATGGGCTCATGTAGGCTATGCTCGGTCCGCACAATATAAATGATGGTCAAGTTACCTAGCACAGCAATAAGGTACAGGGAGCACAATGGGAAGGCCAGCCAGAACTGAGCCTTCTCCAAACCTGGGAGGCCTATTAGGATGAAATATGTAGCACTGGATTCATTGCCATTAGGGTCTACCATAGTGAAGAAGTTGAACTGTGACCAATGCCAGGCAGGTAGAAGCTGGAATGCAAAGATAAACCACTGTCAGATCTTCCAGAATCCCAAAACCACACCTCTGCCCCTCCATCCTGATGTCTCTTTCTCTGACCGAAATTCTAACTTCATTACCTGATTCTATTCTGAACTCAATCTAACCATCCTTCAACACTCAAGGCCTAGATGTAAATTCACCTAGTCCTACTTATTAACTCTGCCTCTAAAGTCAAACCAGGTAGTAAGTAAAATACTAAGGCAAAAATTCTAAGAATATTGTAAATCATTTAGTTCACCAAAGAAAGGCTATATACTCAATACACATCAATCTTAAATTATTTAAAAAAAAAAAATCTCCTCACTTCCTCTGTTCAATTCCACCCCTATATCCCCTTATGCTTAATAACAACTGTAAGTTTATTAATAGAATTACATTACACTATCTTTAAGACTAACTCCAGTACAAATGTAGAAGAATTATAGTAATCTTCAGAATAAAATTGAAACCTAACCTCATCAATAATCTCATTGGTCTCATCAACTCTAGCCTTAACTCTAACTCTAACATTAACCTAAAACTTAACCCTAATAACGATTTCAATTTTGATCTGAAACCTATTAACAACACATACTTTATTATAATGAACCCTAATCTAATAAAAACATGACACTAAATGTATCCTGAACACTAGCTCTATATCTCACTCATGTCCAAATGCCCATCCAAAGTCTGACATTTGTCCAGACTATCCAGTTTATACCAGAAAAAGAACATTAGGAATAGTGGATGTTGGTGTCCCACCCAATTCCCCTTCACCAAGCCAGTGCACCTATCTCCCATATGTGGTGTTGGTTGCTAACAGATCACAGTTCCCCCTTTCTACAGAGAACTGTCCTCAGTCAAATAGGAGGCACCCCACCCAGGAGGTCATGCTATCCCCCATCCCAAGGGGCACCTAGAGGCCAATGACTGCCTGACATGGGTCATACCACCTGTCTCCAGGTGGGACCAACCCTGTGATGCAATTTGTGCTTCAGAGTTTCCCCAGGCACCAGGCTGAGTCTGGTCTTCAGCTGAGACCACAACCTTGCTTAGCTTTCTTCCCCTGCCCTATTCCGCTTTCCTCCTCTTCTCATGACAAAAATCCCACAATATACCATTTGAGCAAGAATCGTCATCTCAGGATCAGCATCTAGGGGACCCAGCCTAGCAGATTGGTATTGGCAGACTAACCCTAAGAGGTGATGGCATTGGAAACATTGGAGGACTAATCAGTCGTAGATCATAGCTCCGATATCTCTGAATCTGGCTACAAAATCAATAAATGTTAAAGAGAGATTGCTGAGGAAGGATGTCAGACTTGGGTTATCTCAGATTGTACCTCTCTGTTGAAACAATTAGAGAGGTGCTAACTTTTTCCTCCATCCTTTCCTATCTTCCTATCTTCGACCCTCAAATATCCATGTGTTTCTACTATTACCTGTTACCCATTGCCACTGAGTCAATTCTGACTCATAGCAATCCTATAGGACAGAACAGAACTGCCCCATAGGGTTTCCAAGGAGCAGCTGGTGAATTTGAACTGCCAGCTTCTTGGTTAGAAGCCGGGCTCTTAACCATTGCACTACCAGGGCTCAATTTATTACATCAAGCTTATTGTTGTTTTTAATAGATTTACATATACATCATATATAAAAAAAAGCTTTAGCTGTAATTGGAGAACTATCTCCTCTTTCAACTGGGGGCATTGTGCCACTTATTGCTTGAATATATTTAAGATAATTTTATCTTGGAAAGAAAAAAGAAAGGTTAGATTCTTAACAGCTGAGGTAGAGGCTTCCTGCATGTCTTACCACAGAGCAGTTGAGTGTGTGGCACCGGGCTCAGGTTATGTTCACCATCTTTGTTCCTCCATTGAGCAACTACCCAGAGGTTCCCTCAGACCAGACTCAGAGTTCAGTGGGAAGACACGGGAAGCATGAGTTTTCAAACAGAGAGTGACAGCATTTTAATTCAAACAGCTGTGGGGAGAAGGTATAAGGCAGAGAAGCCAGATTTAATCTAGAACTTCAGGCAAAGAGGCTAAAGTCACCAACGTCCCTTCAATCACCCTTATTGACCTCTCTGCAGCATGTGACACTGTGAGCAGTTCCCTTTTTCTTAACCCTTCTCTCTTTCTCTTCTGCTGCTCCTCATCACTCTCTAATCACTAGTTTCTTTTCTGGATCTCCACCAGCCTCCACTTGACCTTTAAATGATAATGCTCTCTCAAATTTAACACTCAGTGCCTTTCTTGTTCTATGCCCTCTCTTCAGCCATCTCACACTCTCCAGTAAATTAGTTATGGGTTCCTAAATCTATTTAGCAAGCCCTGAATTCTCTTTTGTGATCTAGATTCATGATTCTAAAGACTTAGAAAGAGTCCAACTGGCTGTCTCTGAAGCACATGAAACTCTCCATGTCTAAAAAATGAAGTCCCCTTCCAGAGACAGTATTGTATAGCTGCTAAGAGCCTGAGCTTTTAAATCAGCCATGGGTTCAAATCCCAGTGTACAATTTCCTTAACTGCGTGATCTACGAAAAGTCGTTTAACCTTTCTAAGCCTCAGTTTCCGCACCTAAAATGATCAATATGAGGAATAAATGAGATCATGAATGTAAAACATGTAATACAATTCCTGGCACATAGTAAGTATACAAAAACTTACATCTGTTGTTATTAACTATTTTTCTCCAGTTTTACCTTTTTCTGTTTTGATGACTTAAACAGTCACACAAGCTAGGTACTCCGATTCTGACTGCCATGCCTGTGGTGTAAACCTTCCTCATCTGGACAATCCCAGTAATCTTCTAACCAGATGATATCTACTCATTACCTCTTGTTAAAATAATGATAATAAAATTTTCAGAAAATAAAGCTCCAGATTGATCAAATTGAATCCAGGAAAAAAAAGGCTAAATTTCTTAGGATGTGGTAGATGGCCTTTCTTTCAGCATCTGATCCTAGGTTTCTTTCTTACCACTTATCATGACCCTTATTCCCCACCCACATTGGAATATATGCTGTTTCATAAATAGAGCAGTGATCCTCATGCCTCTGTGTCTTTTTTTACATCTTGTTCTTTTGTCAAGAAAAACTGTTCCCCCAGGTCTCCCTTCTTGACTTCCCACTAGGGAAAATCTTACTCATCTTTCATAGCCTGGCTTAGCATCTCTCTCCTCTGATACTTTTCCTAAACCCCTTTCTCCTGGGTATAATTAAATTTTTCCTCCCCTGTGCTCCTAAGGAACTTTGTTTATGTATTTATGTATTTACCATCCTGAACTATAATTATTGTTCTATATGTCTTCCTCCGAATTATGAACTCCTTAATGGCAGGGACTCTATCATATTTATTAATTAGTCCCCAAATAAGATTTTTTGAAATTGAAAATGAGTTTTGTCAAAAGGAAGAATCCTTTAATAAGCATCTAATGAAGATAACATAACCCAGTGGGTAGAAAGAGATTTTTGAGTAGGGTGAAGGAGTGCTTACAAGGTCAGTGCAGGGTGGTCTTAAGCTCAGAACAAGAATCTTCAGGGTCAGACAGAAAAGTTCTTCCTCATCTAAGGGCCAGAGGTCATGCAAGAGAGGATACATGGAGAACAGGGCTGCTACAAAATTCTGGCTCTAAATAAAGGCAAAGTGAACATGCAGCACAGTTTGTGCCGGGGTCGGGAGAGCGAGGGGTAGCCTAGCATCCCTCACCTGGGGAGATAAACTAAAAGGCTCTAGCACTTGGCAGGGCCAGGTATCCATGCCAGCCTGAAATACCACATGAGCAGACAAGACAGAGCAGGGACATTCCCAGGATAAGAATGTGCTGCCTTAGTAAACATATTGGGAAAGAGTCATGGATTGGCATATGCATCCTTACTGCCACTGAGGGTACAGTGATGTGGTGAGCAGATATCTGGGACTAGGAATGCAAATCTTGGCTCTAAATAAATGCAGAGGATAACAATAACCTCACAAGGCTGCAGTGAGAATCGCGTGAGGTAAGGCATGTCAAAGGGTGTCAAAAAGACTTCATCACAGTACAAAAATCACGGGTTTTTTATTCATGTTTTCATAAAGTAGAGAACAAGAACTTTGAAAATTTATGAAGTTTCCAAAAACTTTTCATTTCCCTCTATTTGTCATCTTAATTACCACTCCACCTCAATGCACACACTTACACCTCACACACACACAGACACAGTATCTAGCAGTCCATCTCTCACAATGGCAAAGACTGGGCATTGATATGGGGCTACCAGAAACCAAAACAAGATAGACTCAGTTAGCCTGGAGAGGAGGTGCCCAGGCAGCATAAAGTTGACAGCTATTGATGAAGATAAATATCAGAATATTTTATACAGAGTATTTTACAGAGTATTTACACATTCTGAAGTAGATCTCAGAAGAATGGCCCAGGAGAGAAATGAAGGAATGTACAGGAAGCCAGAACAGAGAAGGGCCAATTTCTTTTCTAGGCAGAGGGCCCACTCCCTTCAGCCCTTTCACCCCTGAAGCATAGCAATCCCCCAGAGTCCCACCAGGAGACAGGCAGAGGCACCAGATGACTTCCCGGTGCCAGAGAAGCTACCGTAATTAGAACCATTTGTGTGCACTTATAGAGAGATGGCTTTGAGCAGTGAAGGAAGTTGAACTAAATCATTCTATTTTGAAAATAAAACACAATCAAGGAAAATAAACTAAGAAATTTATTTTCTTTTCCTTCTTTTTTTTTTTAATTTTAGAAAGCCCACAGTCACTGCCCTGATGCCAGGGAGTAGCCCTGTGCTTGAGATGTTCTCTGAAAAAGTCACGCTATCTTAGCAAGTCCCAGGGATGGTTCTTGGAGAACTAGGAAGGAATGTTTCTTAGCCCTTTTCTGGAATGTGGGAGCAGGAGTCCCAAGCTATACAGAGTGGAAATCCACTTTAAGGCCCTCAAGTCTCCCTCTTCCTTCCCCTCTGGTCTCCAGGACTATGACCCCCAGTGCCAGCTCAGCCATCCTCACCCTCTTCCCCAGACCCCTCTGACCTCCTTCCTTCTTAGAGACCCAGGCACCATGGAAAAGCAGGCAGGGATGTGGGCCAAGGGTGACCTCTTCTGACCCAAGAAAATAATGAGGTCACTCCTGACACTGATTTTGGCATTTTCATGAAAATAAGAGTGAGTGAGTGCCTACAAAATGCTGGACACTGTACAAAATTTAAATCTAACCCCAAAACAACTGCAGGATAGGAATTTCTATCTATCTTTTCCATATTATAGGTGACAAAACCAAGGCCCTGAGTGGTTGAGTAACTTTCCCAGGGTTTATCAGTTGAATGGTAAAGCTGACATTTAACATAGCTGCTCTTACTCCAAGGACTGTACATGTTCCTCTTTATTCTTGGCTGCCTTTTATTGTGCTACACATTCTGAAAGGTAATAAAATCTGTCTAAGAGGTAGGGTAGAAAAAGGACTTCATAAGTAGAATACCTGGCCCAGGTATACCCTGGAAGGGAAACCAAAAAGTCAGTAAAGAAGATCCTCCTGGCCTGGGAATTGGGATACTCTCCCAACCCCCAGCCCAACCGCCCTGGTTGTGACTTGGATAGGCCCCTCAATAGAGATTTAAAAGCTTTATCCTCCAGCAAGTTCTTCCTTCTTATATGATTAGTGCCTCTCATCAACCTGTCAAGCAGGCATTAATTATTTATTTGACAGATCAGGAAACTGAGGTAAGTTAGAGCTCTCAATACCAAGGTCCAGGTGATTTCCAATATGCCTATCTACTGACTGCCCCTGTCCAAGTCTCCTTAAGAATGGACTGGTGCTTTGTAAGGATTATTTCAATCCTTACAATCCTCTGTAAGGACTCATGAATCCAGAGGGCCTTTCAGGCTCATGGCACCTGACCAGCTCTCCCAACTTCGGTTCAGTGGGTGGAACAAGGAGGGACATGGGAAATGGGGATTTGTGGTCACTGCCATAAGCTGGGCTAAATGCACAGAATGTTCCATGTCTAGAGTCATGACGGTGGGGTCTGACCCCACTTCCAGCCTCTGTGGGAACATCTGGAAGAGAATGTCCTTGGAGGGAAGCCCAGACATACCTGGGAGCCTCTGGCTTCCCATTCCAGACCCAAAGAAGGAAGACAGACCTCAGGGACTGTAGGAGTTTATCACCCTGACTCATGGAGAGTGAGTCCTTTCACTAACACTCCAGTGAGGGTGGTAGTCCCAGAATCACATCTACCCCAAATTACTGCCCCCCTTGCTCCCCATACCTTGCTTGTATTTGATAAAGCAGATAAATGGTTTCAATGTCTTAGTCACTGTTTTTGGAACAGAGAGGAGGGGAGACGAGAGAATGCATTTTCCCACTCCCAAAAAGCAGAGTCAGGCTTCCAGCCCCACCCTAATCACCCCAGTCATCCTGGCCCCCAAAATCACCTCCAGGCAGAGCTTCTGGGGTTCAGATCCCTGCTCCTCCACTTCTGAGTAGGACCAGAGCCAATAAGAGTCCCACAGACCCGCAGAGCTGGACCTAATTATCAGTGCTCTCTGGAGCCACTCCGGCTGATGCGTGCATGCAGGGAAATGTGGTGCAAAGGAAAAGCCTGACCCAAGACATGGAATAAACGTTTTGACTGATACACTCATTTTTTTCAACAACTATTGATTGAATGACCACCATGTGCCAGACATTGTGCTAAGCACTAGAGATACTGAGATAGAAAGCAAACAAGACACAGTTCTAGCCCTCAAGGGATGGGGAGAAACTAAAATAAATATGCAACCATCACAGTACCTTGTAGTAAGTGCTAGGACAAGGGTAAGTAGAGTATGAAAGAAGCACCATAGCTCACCAAGTTGGCAGGCTCAGAGGCTACCCTGAGGAGGTCTGAGCCAAGACTTGAAGGACCAGAGTTGACCAGGCATGTTCGGGGAGCGTGGGGACAGCAGCATTCAGTTAGACAACATAAATTCACTGAGAGCCTACTATGTGCCTAAAGCTGGAGATAAAGCAGTGACTAGAATAGACACGGTCTCTGTTCTCATGGAGCTCACTCACTAGAAAGAAGACATCAAAAATAAATAAATAAGGAAGGAAATTTCAGATAAAGATAAGTACACTGAAAACAACAAGATATTGGAGGTAGGGAGTCACTGAAAGCCTCTCTGAGGAGGTGACATATAAGCCGAGAGCTATGTAATGAGAAAACACCAGCCATGCTAAGATCTAAGGAGCCCTGTTGGCACAACAATTAAGTGCTCACTCGGCTGCTAACTGAAAGGTCAGCAGTTCAAACCTACCAGCCCTTCCGTGGGAGAAAAGACCCAGCAATCTTCTCCCATAAAGATTTCAGCCTAGGAAACCCTATGGGTCAGTTCTACTCTGTCCTTTAGGGTTGCTGTGAGTCGAAATTGACACAATGGCACACAACAACATACTGGGATCTAGGGAAAGAGCATTCTAGGCAAAGAACACAGGAGAAAAGGTCTTGATAAATGAATTTGCGGTTCACAAATCAGAAAGAGGGTCAATGTGTCTAGAGCACTGAGAGAACAGGGGAGCTTTAGAAGATGATATCAGAGAGGCGAGCAGGTGTCAAGCCAGGTAGTGGCTTGCAGGAGATAGCAAGAAGCTTTGATTTAATTCCACATGACTTGGAGGAATTTAAGCAACAGACCTATCTAATTTGCATTTTAAAGTGCATTCTGGCAAAGGTTCAGTGTGGCTGGGGTAGAGCAAAAAGGTAGAGGAAGTCACAATGTGAATACTAATCCTCTTTGTAACTGGGCTGAAGACTGAACCCTGGGCCTAAGCCCCAGCATTATTTCTAAGTCCCCATCTCAGCCACAGCCTGACTTCTGATGCAGGGTATAGAATGAGCTCTGACCCTAGTCAGAGCCCCCACCCCAACCCCAATCACAGACTGAGCTTCAACCACACTAACAACCTGGATACTGGCCCTGACCGCACAGCAAACCACAATCCAATCCCGACCGAGTCCCAAACTAGTCAGTTCTCTACCCCTACTCACATTCACTCATGCCAATCCCTATCAGGTATCCCAGTAAACTTGTCATTAGAAATTGCTTGAAAACTAACTTTAGCCAGCATCTAACACCCCGATGCTTCCCATCACCACACAAACATAGAAATTGTTAAGGCTATCTGTCCCTTGAGTCAGGGGCCTCCTTCATATCCCTCACCCGCCCCCCCACCCCGTACTTCTAGTTCTTCAGAGTCTGATTTTCATTCAGTCCACAGATATAACAGGGAAAGTCTAACTACAAGACCCCACAAACCTGGACATACTCCCCGGTTCTCCTGCACTCACCTCAACTGCACCGAAAGAACGTGTGCCCCTTTTTCCACTACTCTTCCTGAAGAAGTCTGGCAGGCTGCACTGAAGTATAGCTCTCTCTGTCTCCGCCTTCTCCTTTGGGCCTCCCTAATGCAGGGTTATTTATGCTCTCTTACTTCCTTCCTCCTTCTGCTTCTCCCTGCTGGAGGCAAAGTACTGCCCAGTGGGTCCATTAACAGGTACCCCTCACTAGCCAACTGTGGTTCTGGTTTCCTTCTTGCTTCAGTGTCCTGGGAGGGTGTGTCTGGGGGCATAGGGAAGGAGGGGAAATTGGTAGAGAGGGTCTCCAGAGTCCTCCCCAAATGGGCACTGGTGCCAGCTGGGATACTTGCGCTAGCTCCCAATGTGACACGGGGAATGAGTGAGGAAAAGCTAAAGAAAATTCATTGTGTGGCCATTGCCTTTGTGAGGTGCCGTTTTCCAAGTGCCTCCCCAGGCTTATCAAACTTAGCAGAAGGAAAAGCAGAATAAGCTTTCAGGGAGACCTCATGATGAAGTGCCAGCTCATCTCCGTCTTGCAGCTTTCTCTCTCCCCTGCCTTCTTTCCTTTGTGGCCCCTGCTCAGGTTCTTTCTGAGTCTAGAACCCAGTGGGCCCATCCTCACTTCCCCAAAGCCCTACAGCTACATCTTCTTTGTCTCCCAGGCTCTGGGGCCTGCATCTGGCTAACTCATAACAGGATCCCCAGGGACAAAGCCTCTGCCTTCCATTCCCTGACCTTGGATTACCAAACTTCTGTCTGAGAAAGGAGGATGCAGTTTCCTTAATCCTCCCCGACCTCAACACAAGCCATATAAGACCAGTGCGATTTGGTTTCTCTCTTAAGTGCAAAAATAGTAAGAGACACATTTAGAACAATTTGAATATGAAACTAAATCTGTTACATTTTTAAATAAGTAAAAAACATGTCTATAAATCAAGCAAAGTAATTTTTAGGTGGTTTCACCTTATTATTTACTGATCAATGTAAGCTGTAAATTCATAACACAGGGCATGCTAACTCATGCTATAGAAAAATAGACAATGTCAGATCAGGCCACTGCAACTCAGTTCTCATCAAAACTACTGATTACAAGAGCCCCGGGTGCCTGTAGAGCCTGCAGACTGATACTTGCTATCATTCCCCTTGAGCCATCTCTGCTGCCTCCCTCAATCTCCCTTTGCCTTAGACAATGTGAAGACTTTTTAAATATATATATACCCCAGGGACTTCTACCTCCAGCCAAGATGGAGTAACAAAGAGTAATATCCACCTGAAGAAGCCAAAATACGGACAATATATATGAAACAACAGTTTGAAAGATGCTGGACATTAGGCAATGAAGGTCAGTGATCCTTGAGAAAAGGGAAACAAATGAGGTGAACCCTAGAACTCCCCCAGCTTATTGACTTGAGAGAGTTTCCAAGCCTGCTGCACATGAAAGGGTGAACAAGGCAGAGTCCAGAGAATTCTCTGAGTGGAAAAGATGGAGCTGAGAATTCAGGAAGACCAAGTCAGCTGGAATGTGAAAGCAGGGTACCAGAGAAGAGAGATCTACACAGAAGAACTCCAGAGATCTGTAAAGGGTCCCCCTCAAGAATTCAGCTGAGTACTGATTTCTCTATATTTCTCACAAATTGATTTCTCTACAAAAAATCAGAGATTTGAGATCTCTGAGACTCAGGAGTTGTGGCATGGGGAAAAGAGCTCTAGAATTGAGTCACTATCCTGTTTTCAGTCACACGACCTTCAGCTAGTCCTTAACTTCTCAGAGCCTTGGTTTCCTTATCTGTAAAACAGGAGTAGAAACATTATCTACAGTAAAATGGATTTTTTAGATCATAATGGATCATTCCTGTTGTTGTTAGGTGCCGTCTAGTTAGTTCCGCATCATAGTGACCCCATATACAACAGAAGGAAACACTGCCGGGTCATGTGCCCAATCTCACAATTGTTGCTATGCTTGAGCTCATCATTGCAGCCACTGTGTCAATCCATCTCATTGAGGTTCTTCCTCTTTTTCCCTGACCCTCTACTTTACCAAGCATGATGTCCTTCTCCAGGGACTGGTCCCTCCTAATAATATGTCTGGAGTACATGAGATGAAGTCTCCCCCATCCTTGTTTCTAAGGAGCATTCTGGCTGTACTTCTTCCAAGATAGATTGTTTCATTCTTCAGTATTCTTTACCAACACCACAATTCAAAGGCATCAATTTTTCTTTGGTCTTCTTTATTCATTGTCCAGCTTTCACATGCATATGAGGTGCCTGAAAATACCATGGCTTGGGTCAGGCAAACCTTAGTCCTCAAAGTGACATCTTTGCTTTTTAACACTTTAAAGAGGTCTATTCCAGCAGATTTGTCCAATGCAGTACGTCTTTTTATTTTGACTGCTGCTTCCATGGGCATTGATAATAGGTAAAGTAAAATAAAATCCTTGACAACATCAATATTTTCTCTGTTTGTCATGATGTTGCTTATTGGTCCAGTTGTGAGGATTTTTGTTTTCCTTATGTTGAAGTGTAATCTATACTGAAGGCTGTAGTCTTTGATCTTCATCAGTAAGTGCTTCAAGGCCTCTTCACTTACAGCAAGCAAGGTTGTGTCATCTGTGTAAAGCAGGTTGTTAATAAGTCTTCCACCAATCCTGATGCTGTCTTCTTTTTCATATAGTCCAGCTTCTCAGATTATTTGCTCAGCATACAGACTGAATATGTACAGTGAAAGGACACAACCCTTACGCACAGCTTTTCTGACATTAAACCATGCAGTATCCCCTTGTTCTGTTCTCTTGTCTATGTACAGGTTCCGCATGAGTACACTTAAGTGTTCTGGAATTCCCATTCTTCACAATGTTATCCATAATTGGTTATGATCCACAGAGTTGAATTTCTTTGAATAGTCAATAAAACACAGATAAATATCTTGTTTCATGTCCTTTTCTGAATCCAGCTTGAATTTCTGGCAGTTCCCTGTCAATAAACTGCTATAACTCCTTTTGCATTATCTTCAGCAAAATTTTACTTGGGTGTAATATTAATGATATTGTTCAATAATTTCTTCATTCCGTTGGATCACCTTTCTTTGGAATGGGCACAAAAATGGAGATCTTGTAGTCGGTTGGCCAGGTAGCTGTCTTCCAAATTTCTTGGCATAGATGAGTAAGCACCTCCAGTGCTGCATCTGTTGAAGCATCTCAATTGGTATTCTGTCAATTCCTGGAGCCTTATTTTTTACCATTCCCTTCAGTGCAGCTTGGACTTCTTTCTTCAGTACCATCAGTTCCTGATCATATGCTACCTCCATGAAATGATTGAACGTCAACCAATTCTTTTTGGTACAGTGACTCTGTGTATTCCTTCCATCTTCTCTTGATGCTTCCTGCATCATTCAATATTTTGACCATAGAATCCTTCAATATTGCAACTCAAAGCTTGAATTTTTCTTCAGTTCTTTCTTGAGAGATTCTGAGTGTATTGTTCTCTTTTGGTTTTCTAACTCCAGGTGTTTGCATATGTCATTATAATACTTTACTTTGTCTTCTAGAGCCGCCCTTTGAAATCTTCTGTTCTTTTACTTCATCATTTCTTCTGTCCCCTTTAGCTACTCGACCTTCAAGAGCAAGTTTCAGAGTCTCTTCTGACATCTGTTTTGTCTTTTCTCTCTTTCCTGTCTTTTTAATGACCTGTTGCTTTCTTTGTGTATGATATCCTTGCACAACTCGTCTAGTCTTAGGTCATTAGTGCTCAATGCAGCAAATCTATTCTTGAGGTGGTATCTAGATTCAGGTAGGATATACTCAAGGTCATATTTTGGCTTTCACAGACTTGCACTAATTTTCTTCAGTTTCAACTTGAACTTGCATATGAGCAATTGACCGTCTGTTCTGCAGTTGGCCCTGGCCTTGTGCTGACTAATGATATTGAGCTTTTCCATCATCTCTCTCCACAAAAGTAGTCGATTTGATTCCTGTGTTTTCCACGTGGCAAGGTCCACGTATATAGTCACCGTTTACATCGTTGAAAAAAGGTATTTGCAATAAAGAAGTCATTGGTCTTGCAAAATTCTACCATGC